GCAAGCTGGAACAGCATTATTGTATAATACTGTATAAGTAGTATTGTGTAATGAACTCGAACCACTGTGTATTTAATGCAAATTTTGCTACAGTGGGCTCTGTTCTTAACTATGGGTCATCTGTAAACTGGGTGTTCTTAACCTAGGGACTACCTGTACACATGTAGGTCGTATTTCAGTATCTTTGCTTGCCTGTTTATTAAAATCTTAACATGTTTAGAACAAACTTATATAAGCAGATATGTCTGAAGGTTCATACAGAGATCTCTGTTTTGGAATGCTGCCTCATTAGCTGAACGTGCTTGTGTACCCCTTGCAGATCTTTGCTGTAAACATGCGAAGGTTTTTGAAAGCTACTAGACATACTGTTTATGTCATTCATAACCTTTAGTATATTTTAATCCTTTTCATATGTCTGCTTAGGTCTAATGTGTTTGTAGATTACAAAACAGACATTTGAAAAACATTTACACAGGAAGTAAATGAGCAGAAGGCTGGTTGTTAGAATTTGGGTTAAAGATCTTTTCAAATGTTTGCCACTGGCCAGTGACTTCATACCCACACAGAATATTCATTATAAAGAGCAGCAACAGATAAAAGACAAGTCACTTGTTTTGATGAACAGGATAATTCTGTATCGATATACATCAGGATGTATAAGAAAGAAAAAATCATGTTGATATGGAAATATCCTGACACTACTGGAACCTGCAGGGAACTTCTACAACCCATCAATACATGGAAGGGATATCCTATTTTCTTAGTGAACACTACTAATAGAAAGATAAATGGTATTGTGGAATCCTTGGTGCTCTCTGAGCTTGGTTGTTGGCTTGCAGACACTTCATTATCCCACTAGGTAACATCTAGGCACTAATGATGTTACCTAGTTGGGTAATGAAATGTCTGCAAGCTCAGAGAGCACCAAGGACTCCACAGTTCAACCCTGAGCTACATATATTCTCTTCTGTTGGAATAAGTGATAGTAAAAGAAATTAAATGTTGACAGTCAAATATTTAAAACTGCAATCATAGCTCTTTCAACTATTCCTCATAAAACAATGCTCTCTGAGCTTGGTTGTTGGCTTGCAGACACTTCATTATCCCACTAGGTAACATCTAGGCACTAATGATGTTACCTAGTTGGGTAATGAAATGTCTGCAAGCTCAGAGAGCACCAAGGACTCCACAGTTCAACCCTGAGCTACATATATTCTCTTCTGTTGGAATAAGTGATAGTAAAAGAAATTAAATGTTGACAGTCAAATATTTAAAACTGCAATCATAGCTCTTTCAACTATTCCTCATAAAACAATATCTAGATTCTTCACCCACATTGTCATTTTCTTATGGATGACCTCCAGTTTAACAGTGTCCTTTCTAAAACAAAGCATGAAGAAGACATGATTCTTCAGAAGCATGTTTTTTTTAGATTTTTTTTATCCCACCTTTATAATTTTTAGTATAAATAACTCAAGGTGGTGAACATACCTAATACTCCTTCCTCCCCCTATTTTCCCCCAACAACAACCCTGTGAGGTGCATAGACTAGAGTAGTGTTATTACTTATGCTCTGGATACTATGCTTCTGTTACTACAGCCTAATATTGTATCATCTTAAGCAGTCACATCACACTGCTGATTCAGGATAATAGGCCAGAATGCTATACTATTTTAGTTAGAGATTTTTTAATAGCAATATTATCCAGGGAGCATTATATATCTTGTAAACTAAATGTGACACAGTGTCCTATTATAGTTTAGTTTTACTATGTTTATAATATTCCTGTAATCTATAAACTAGTATCCTTGTCCAAAAAAGAGAAGATAATGCATGCCTTGCATGTCTTAATCTAGATAAACCCAAACTAGTCTAGTAATAATATGCTCTTTTCTTGAGATGTTGAACTCAACATCTTAATACTTTGCACAATAATAGTCACCATATTGACTAATAATTATTCTTTAGGGAATTCTCATGTATCCAAGACTTTGCAAAGTTAAAGAGTCTCTTGGGACCTATTATGTTATCAAGTATTTATTTTCTTTTGTACGTAGCTCTGTATGTGTAGTTATATTGACACACACGCACACCCCTCTTGCCACTACATTTTGCCTCAGATCTTCAAACTTGTATCTAAAATGACATTTCATATTCAACTAAATCTGTCATAATATTCTGCAATAAGAGAAAAAAATAGTAAATAACTTATTCAACTGCCCTGCAGCCTCCTTATCCTCTTTGTTACTTTTTTAATTCCCTTATCATACAATTATCTCCTAGTAGATTTCCTGCTTCTTATGGGTTTATTGTCAGCTTTAATTTTGTTTGTGTTACGTTACTCAAAAATCCCTTTTTGCATCACATTTGTTTTTAGCAAGTTTTAGAAGGCTAAAAAACCTTATTTTTCGTAAGTTTCCTTGAATCTGGACACTTCTATCTAAGGATTTGGTACCAATTCAAAATCAGCTCTAAGCAATCTGATCTCAAAATGTCAGCTGATTTGGGGAGCTAAGTCTATTCATTTTTGCTCTGTGCTTGCCTATTTGAAACTAGAACAAAGCTGGTTTTTCTCTTTGAATCACTGCAGTTTTGCAAAAATTTAGAGCTATCTATTTGCCCATTGCTAGGAACTCTTGCCTGTCCCTGTCTTCTAGACTTGGGGCAGCTATTATTCTTTCCCACCATTAAAGCTTAATTATACTGTTCCTAGTAGCTTGTCTACAGGCACTAAAGTGTATCTTCCCCTCTCTTCAGTACAGCTACCAGTAGCAGCATATAATTCCAGTAGCAGCTATTGGGAAGTGTCTGGTTGTAAAATTAGTAACATGCTATAATTTCACATTCATAGCTTTCAAGAGGTTTTTAAATGCAGGAGAAATGGGAGTTTTGCAATTGGGAAATCTTCCCTCACAGCAACTGCTCAGTTTTGTTTTTTGTTTTTTTTAATGAGTGATGAAAGCATATAATATACATTGAAATAGACTACTGTTTATTTGCTTTTGGTGTAGATAAGAGGATTTTTGTTACTTCAGGATCAGCAGCACAAAACAGTGATTGAATGAGGTTTCTTGCATTCTCCTATTGGTCAGCTGATGGGATCACTAATTCTGCTGATTTCAAAGTCAGCAGAAAAATAAAGACAATTACAAGTCAGCTTCTACTTGTTTGTGAAGAATTGGGGAACAAAAATATTGTAGAACAGCTTACTGTTGTATAGGAAATCTTACTGTTAACCATGCTGGTGTAAACGGGTCTTTCCTGATCTGTGCTACACTTGAATTTCTACTGTGGTTTTATATTCTGGAGATATTTGATTCCCTTAAAATATAAATATTTTTATATTTATATATATATCCTATTATTATATTCTATCCTATACACACACAAACATACATCTTATTTTCTAGGGTATCCAATAATTATAGCAAATATGACTTTATTAGATTTCCTTGGCAATTGTTCTCTGAAATATAACTTTCCTTTAGTAATATTATAATCACTGTTTCCAGTTGGTTTCATAGATTAAGCAGTAGACTAGAAGTACCATCTAGGATTAAGACTAGAATCACTTCTGCTCTAGAAAGTTCCTTGATAAACTGCTTTAGGATACAGTGGGTTATATCTAGAAATTTTATGTGTTTGATGTGTAACTACTGTGGGATCACATTATTTCATTGGGGAAAAAAATCCACTACATTGGTTCCAGGCTTAAAATAGTCTCACTGAAATAAAATAGATTATGTTTGGTTACAGTTTACTTGTCCCATTGATTTACATGGGTCTGATCTAAATGGGGATCAAATCTCTATCCATCCAATGTGTTGTAAATATTAGACAGATTTCCCAGTTCTACCCCAAAATACCCAGTATAGAATACAGTCATGGTGGGGCCCACAACTGTGAACATATCTTAGGGACCTCCATGCCAGCAGTTTAATTTAAAACTCAGTGTTTGCAGGATTAAAAATATACATATTACATACCCATCCTATTTTTCCTTTTTGGGGTAAGCAAGTTTTTGCAGAGCATAGCAAATAAGTAAGAAATAGTATGGCAAAAAAGAGACAATAAAAAGAAATAGTATGGCAAAAAAGAGACAATTCAAAAGCTAAGAAGGAAACAGAAGAGACCAGAACACATCCTCTCCAGCAGCCAACACCAAGATAAGCAGGGATCAACACCAGACAAACAATCAAGCAAAAACCAATACCCTAATCAAGGAACTACCAAGGAGAAAAACACATCCCCACCAAAACTGGCAGGGCAGTTATACAGTTCTACTGTATATAAACAGGGAGGAAACCCCACACTCACTTGCACTGACGATATTACCTAGCTGGGTAATGAAATGTCTGCAAACAAACAACAAAGCTCAGGAAGCACCAGGACTCCACAATTCAACAGTATATTCTCTTCTATTAGAATTTAGGTATTCAGCCAAAAACAGTTGTTATCAGCCTTCAAGAGTACATGTATACTTACATTCCCAATCAACACACCTGTTCCTTATATGTTTATCCATAAACACCATAAGCAGTCAAGGAGACATCACACATCCTTTTCTTACTCCCTACTCAATGCTGAACTATTCTCAGAACATTCAGTTTATTCTCGTGCATCCCCTACTTTCATCATCTAGTGCTCTTATTGCATTCAGCATATGATTAATACAATGTCAGATTTGATTCTAACCTACCAAGATTGAGGGAGGATATTCACATCCAGAATTGATGAAAAAGAGAAAACTGGGATTAGACTGACAGTGAAAACAGAATGAAGACTATCAATTACATCCCACTTACCCACCTACATTATGCGTAACAACCAAGCTAATTATGGAAAGCTCAAAAAGTTTGCTATGCTGCTTCTAATACTTTACTGCTAATTTTGACAAAAAGTAGGAAAATTATACTATTTTTAATTTTTAATTTTTTGTTTTGTAGAATCTGCAATAGCAGAAATCCAAAAGAAGATCACAGATGCCTTTGAGGTGTTTGACCATGAATGTAATAAAACTGTGGATGTCAGGTTTGGAAAATCCTCCTTTCAACTGTTAATTCTAATAGCTCTGTGATAAAGCAGTGCGGGTTAAGAAATACAATTCTTTTAAAGAGAAATGTACAAATTGGATTTAGATTAATTAGATTAGCCCCAATGTGGTTGGTTGTCTGTTTTGCAGGATGGAAACTTCCCAGAGATCAGGAAGCTGAGATCAGGAATGGTTTGGCCAAATGGATATGGGAAGAGTTTAATGTTGTTCACAAATCAGAGACTGGTAAAATCTGTCTTTACCATATAAAAGGCAAATGGAGAAGGAAGGGAAGTTCTATTCTTTTTGTTATGGGGAAAAGCCTGGAGTGTGAAAATTAGGGTTTGACAAAGTTTGATAGTGTAAGTAAGTTCTAGCTTGGCTTAGTTACTATAGTTATCAGATTTCTGTTGAGTTTTTCTTCCTACAGTTGGTTTGTTATAACTCCCTTGCCTTTTCTTGTTTTGTTTGTTTTATTGCTGCAACCCTTTTCTTTCTTAACCACTATTCATTGTTGCATAGTTTATTGCTCAGCTGGAGGTTTTGCTGGAGTTTGTTAGGGAAATGAGTTAACTGTTTCAGTGCTGGACTGTTTGTATTTTTGACAGCCAATTGTTGTAGTGTACCTTTTATTTTTCTTTTGTATTTTAAATAAATATATATTCTTCTTTTATTTGTGACTTACCATGTACTGGGACCGCTGTTTTTAGTCTCACATCTCCTGGCAAATGAGTGAATTCCAGGGGTCTCTTTCTAACCAACAGGCTGGTAGCAACTTAATCCTGCCTTCCTCAACCTGGGTATCTTCTGTATAGATGTATAGATTTTAATCCAAGAATTCTCTGATGTGGTCATTACTGAGAATTCTGGGAGTTGAAATCTACACATCTGAAGGTACCAAGGTAAGGGGAAGGCTATCTTACCATGACCAAAAATACCAAGATTGAGTTATTCTAGAAGTAATCTAAGTTTTGGGTAGGTAATGAGACAGACTAGGGTGGCCCAGTTACTATAAATGCATTTAGAAAGTGAATAATTCTTGGAAATCCTTGTAACTTGTCATTATAGGAATTTAAACTCATCACCACAGAACTATATTTCAGTTAATTAAGTAGAAGTACAGTTTATGTTTGAAAGTGTGAGTCAATAACACTATTATATATTGCAGTGTATGCTTAGTCACTAAGCCCTTAACAAAGATCCATCACATCCTTTTGCTCAGATCATATGAATTAACTTTGTTTAGAGGCAGGAGGAGTAATTGACACTACTTAGTTAGCATATCTGAAAAAAAATGTGTTTCTTATATATTTTACTGAATTTGTAGGCCGCCCTACTTTATTACAGCTCTGGAATTTAGGGTACATAGAAACTATTCCCTCTACCTATTCCCTCAGTGGTTATGAGCTTTTGAACAATAGGAATGGGCATAGAGGCTGCTTGGTGGGGAGGCAATTGAACAAAAGAAATCAGCAAAGCAGAACTAAAGATTTGCATTGCTTGTATAACAGATTTTCTCCTTTTTCAGAGAGATTGGCACAATCATTAGGTCATTAGGCTGTTGTCCCAATGAGGGGGATCTCCATGATATGCTTGCAGAGGTAGTGTACATAATTTTAAAGTTCTATTACTTT